GATTGATTCACGGCAGGTTCTTGTGTAATTTTTTTTTCAAGAGTTGTGTATTTAGGAACCCTGGAGGAGAGGTGGTTGGAGGAGCTAGTTGTGCTGTGTACTGAACTGTTGGTAGATTAATTTTGACTGACACTATCACATCGTGGTAGTTACTCTGTGGTTTGGTAGATTTTAACACTAGGCCTAGCAGCCAAGAGTTTTAAAATGTACCAGTATAGCGAGCTGCATGACGCTCACTATACTGAATTTTCCGTGTTTCTTGCACAAAAGCCTTTTACAAAATTATGGCACTCAAATTTCATGGTAGTCACCCCTGTTACTGAGGTTTTGAGGGGGGCAGTAGTTGTGTACAGAGTGGCAGAGAGACTCCATTTGTCAGTTGCCTTTATGATTTACGATGGCAAGACTACTGTTCGCCTCTAATATTGACTAAACATGCATCGTAGTGCATGTAACAACGCTTGTTTGCTGGTGTGCGTGAGACCACTTGCTCACACGCACCAGTACTCGCACGCACAATTTACTTTACTCTTTATGTATTTAGTTTTCTAGTTTGCGCATTGCTGATATCTATTTCCAGTCTAATGAAAATAATAAAAAAAAGCCTCCTAGGCAGGCGAAAATTCTCTTCAATAGAGATAGCCAGGTGATGCATATGTATTGCTCATTAAAAGCAACGGTGTAATAAGTTCAGTGAAAAAAATCGAAAGTAACGATGTCCTTCCGTAAAGGAAGTTAGGACTGGACTCTTGGTTCCTCTCAAGGGCAAACTTACATGATCATCCGAACTGTTACTTGCACCGGACTTGGTGCAGCGATCACCAACATCCTCGCTGGTACTTTTCTCAAGATTGATGGACTGAGCACATCAACTCTAGGCTGAGGGATTAATTTCCTCAAACTCCTCATCTTCCAGCGTTCGTCTTTGTATTGGACTGAAGAAGCCACTGGCTGGCGAAATGTTTCTTCAGTAAAGATTCCCAGATGTTTCGCAAGTGTCTCATTCTTCAACTTGGCGTTTTTTTTTCTTTTAACCATTTACATCACAGCCTCACTGAAGAGGCTGTCAACATGGAGGTCTGGTTCAGGACCAGGACACGAGGGGCGATGGTCTCCAAAATCATCGTGTTACCTGAAACCGACCAGAACTAGGACGAAAATAGTTAAAAGTCAGGGGAAGTAATATTTATTTCTAAAAGAACATGTGCAACTTACACAGACCATAGCTGATATCAGTGACATAGTATATAGAAAACCTCTGGTTATGGAGAGCATTTCGGTCAAATTAGGTTAATTTTATCTCCAGGATATGACCCACACAACTCGACTAACACCCATATACCTATTTACTGCTAGGTAAACAGGGACAGAAAGTGTCTTAAGGAAACATGCCTAAATGTTTCCACCCGTACCGGGGATCGAACCACGGACCTCAACGTGTGAGCTGAGTTTGCGCTACCAACCGAGCTGGCGGTATCAGACCCCACTGTGTGTAGACGAGGTAGAGGGAAGACGCCCTAAGATGGCATCAGCACACATAAAAAAAGTGTAAATATCAGGTCAAGAAAATATCTAGATATGAAGGACGTAACACACGAATAGAAACGCCTCGGCGTTTTAATAAAGGGAAAATTGTCGCTGTGAAGCAAGATGTAGTAATTCCTGTCATCCTGGAATATGTCACAAATCACCTGAGAAAATTCTGTCACGCAGACTCCATTTTGAGTTTTCTTGTAAAAGACATGAAAAGGTGCAGAGGTGCACATTTTGTAGGCGTAAAAAAAAAAAAAAGAGAAAAAAAAGAGGATTGAAACTCATAAAAATATAGATGGGAGAGAAGGAATGCAAACTGGGAAAGTAATTACTATATTCCCAACTACAATTGCTACAACCCCAATACAGTTACTACATCCCCAATACAGTTACTACATCCCCAATACAGTTACTACATCCCCAATACAGTTACTACATCCCCAATACAGTTACTACATCCCCAATACAGTTACTACATCCCCAATACAGTTACTACATCCCCAATACAGTTACCCTACATAACATCCCCAATACAGTTACTACATCCCCAATACAGTTCTACATCCCCAATACAGTTATACATCCCCAATACAATTACTACATCCCCAATACAATTACTACATCCCCAATACAATTACTACATCCCCAATACAATTACTACATCCCCAATACAATCACTCATTCCCCAGATACAATTGTCAACACTGGATTGACCGGAAGTACTGACACCAACCAACATAGAGATGAATGGAATGGTGTCAGGTCTAGGCCCTCCATGGGCAGTGGGCCCTAACTTAGGCGGTATGGCACGGCGTGCCCTATCCTCCGTAACGTAACCTCGTGCCGGGTTAGGGCACAGGGTTATACCCTGGTAGGCTGCTCTCACCACCAGTACTAAATCACACTATAAAATCGCTAGTTCAGAGCAACTTAAGTGAATCACCAGTTACTCTTTTATTGCTAGTATTAAAGGCCTAAAAGTATAGATTCCTCCGCTAGAAAGAGGGAGGCAGGGAGAGAGGAGGAGGAGGAGGGGAAAAGAGAGAGAGATATATCGGGTAATATATACATATAAAGGTAAAAGGTAAAGGTAAGATTCTTCAGGTCTTCGTTCCTCACCTGCACCCTGTTGCAGAAACAAGCAGAGAAAGATATGAGAGAGAGAGAGAGAGAGAGTGAGAGTGGAATAAACTAGTGAGGAACGAGGGAGAAACCATGGCTATAATAAAAAAAAACTACTAACAGAAATCAGAAACATTATCAAAATGAAAATATGATCCTTGAAGATGAACAGTTTAGTTTGTAAAAGTTCCGGAGCATCCGAGTTGTGATGGTCGCTGAACAGTTAACTGCTTGACCTGACGGGAATCATTGAAGCCTGGCTTCAGGCCAGGCTGCTGGAGTAGAAGAACCCTCTAACCTGGTCACAGGTAAACCACAGGTTCAAGAGAAAACTGGATCATTACTTCTGCAAGCTCCAGATTAACCAGGTTGTGGTGGTTGCGTAGCCCAGTGGGCCCCACACAACTACAGCTGGTTAAAGATTCAGTCAACGAGGCTTGGCTAATGGCCGGGCTAGTAGTGTGAAAAAAAAACTTTATATATTACAGGTCTGTATCTCAGACATAATCTTGTAAGTATTATCAGTATGGGCTTCAGTTTACTTCGTGTTTTCTAATAATTTTTATTCATATAGTATTTACTCTTAAAGAACAAAGACACACTACCTAGACTGGAACAACAGTGGTCCAAGTCGGACCGAAACGTCGTCTTAAGCTCCTCTCTCCTATGTGCGGGTAATTTGTGTATATTTTAATTTGAGGCTGCTCTCAGACCAGGCTTCAAGGGTGATGGCCCTTATATCATGTAAAATAGGTATAATTTGCGAGGTACTTATGGTACTTGGGGATAATCATGCAATTGAATTTATTATATAAATACTTCTTTCTTTGGGGTTAATTTTAACGTGCATATGTAGTTGAGCCTGCAAGTACTGTGTATGGGTGGGTAGGTGGAAGAAATCTCGGTAAATAGCTTGATTACATGTAGAAATATCAGTGAAAATGGGAAATAAAATCTGAACGATTTCATGTGCTTAGCACCTGTCGAATCCTTTGAAAGGGTGTGTGTGTGTAAGCACATGAAAGCGCTCAGGTTTCATTTCCTATTTTCACTGTGGTATTGTTTATATATAAATAATATGACGTCCTGAATAGGTAAAATTGGTCAGTTAGCAAGAACTCGTTTAAAAAATAAAGGATTTGTAAAATTTTCTCTTGTACGTTTAAAGATATATATTTTTTTCATTTATGTTAATGTAAAAATTAAAAATTTTGTACCAAAAGAACCTTAGAAAACTTACCTAACCTTATTATAAAAAAAGCACAATTTAATTTAGTCTAATCTAACTAAATATGTTTTGGATAAGTTTACAATAATTTAATAAACAAACACAATAAAATGTATTTTTTTTTTGTTTAGAATGATTTTTGCGAAATTATTGCATACACCAATTTTCGCTTGCCTTATTCCGCAAGAAGAGCGTTGCTATTTAAGCCAAAATCGGCACGACATTGTATATAACAGTGGAACCTCTGGTCACGACCATAATTCATTCCAAAACTCTGGTCGCGACCCGATTTGGTTGTGACCCGAACCTAATTTCCCCATTGGATTGTATGTAAATGCGATTAATCGTTCCAGACTCCTGCGATCTGTATGTAAATATTTTTTTTAAGATTTTTAAGCACAAGAGTTGATTATACCATAGGATGCACAGTGTAATGGTAAATTAAATTTAAAAACCTTGAATAACAGAGAAAACTAACATTGCACAAATCCTAAGAGTTTTTAAGGGATGTCTAGTGGCTGAGCAGTGAACTCCGTTATTTATCGTCCGATTTCTTTCATTTTTGGTGTACGTTAAGAAGCATCTTTCCACCATACATTGCCCAAGTTTCAGTAAGATAGCCCAACAAACTGAGAAAAAAATATTTACCTAAAATCATGTATGGCAAGCCCTAGACGGGTACTGGCACTGCGAGTAGCTGTTTTCACACTACCTGCTGATAAAACATTGCCAATCCGAATTCATCATGGTCGTAATTACTGTAATTTATGAACAATCAAAGTTTGAAAAATCTTTAATTATACAAAATAATGCACAGTTTAATAGAGGAAAAACCTTAAATAACAGAGTTAGGTGTACACAAACAAGAATTGGGGAAAATTGGCGCAGAAAATGAAAATTGACGCGGCTGTGTTTGTTCGGCACCCGATTGTGTGTTTGTGACCAGATGCAAAAATCTGGCAAATTTTTTGGTCGTGAACCGATTTGTTCGTGTTCGGAGGCGTTTGTGACCAGAGGTTCCACTGTGTGTGTGTGTGTGTGTGTGTGTGTGTAAACTTCAATATACTCATCTTCACTGGCATATCTCCCATATTTATGATATATTTCTCTGTTTCAGGTGTGCCGTTCCCACCGTCTCACAAGTTAACCTGTACAGAGGTGTTCGACCCTAAGACAGGCAAGCCCAAGTTCGAATGGCTAAAGAATCACTTCATTCTGGAGGGTCGCATCGACGAGGCTGCGGCCCTCCGCATCATCAACGAGGGAGCCGCCCTCCTTCGTCAGGAGAAGACCATGATCGATATCGAGGCGCCTGTCACTGGTAAGTACCTCTTCAAGTTCCGCTCGTAGCCTGCCTGCCTCGAGCGCTCCACGGCTCCTCTACTTTCCTCCATGTCCTCAAGCTTTGTGTGTTGGGGGGGGGGGGAATCTCCTTGCTCGCCCGAGCTAGAGGAGATGGAACCTTTCTGCTTGTCCCAAACTAGGGTAGGAGAAGCCTTTTTTGCTCGAGCTAGAGGGGAAGGGGGAAGAATTCCTGCTCGCCTGGCCTAGAGAAGGTGGGGTCTTCCTTCTTATCCTCGAGCAGGAATGCGGAGATAATGTAGTGAGTGGGTAGTAGGGTACTTCTGGAGTTTATGGGATAAGTGAAGTCCAAGGGGATCAGGGGTAGAGTTGGCAGGAAAAGAGGAACGTGAAGTGAGGGTTGTGGATTAAAGGGAAGGGAATTAAAAGGGGACAACATTTTGCCCCGGGGGGGTTTTTCAATTAAGGGCACTAAAAGGGGGAAAATAGCAAAAAAATTTTGTTGCAGTAAAAAACCCAGGAGGCAGCTCTGATAAAAACTCACACCACCGAGTTTTTAAAATCTCGCCAAAATTCTTTTTAAACCCAGCAAAAATAGACCTATAGACGGGAGAATACCTAACCTCTCTTCACTAAACAAAGATCTGATAAGAAATGCCCCATATCAAAAACAATATACCAGATCACAAAAAATTGGGGTTTCAGACATGTATCTGGAGCCCCAGCCCGACAAAATGGAGACTATCAGGGGGGAGCATTCCCCAAAATTTCAATTTTCAATAAAAAAAAACAAAAAGGGGACCAAGAAAACCCAAGTCCTAACCGTAAAAGTTGGGAAGATATACTAAGCAACACAGACCAAAAATTTATGCCTAGAACAGTTTAAACTGGGTGGCACCATGTATGCAAAAGGGCTATTCCTCTAAGAAAAAGGGGAAGGGAGATGTAAAATAAAAGAGACGGCCTCCCTTTTACAGGCAGGAAAAGAAAACAGAGGCCTAAAAGGGTCAATATATTTTAAATGCGCAGGAGACACTGGCCAGAAAAGAAGCATCGAACTTAAGCTAAAAGAAACCTTTAGGATCGGAATCGGGGGAAGAACTAAAAGCCATAAATGAACGAAAAAAACCCAAATATTTTTTCCCCTTCCCAAAATAAAAAATCAAACAACGTCCAGTATTGGCCCCCTACAAAAACAAAAAGGGTCTACACAGAGACAGAAAGGAAAGAGTAGCACTCAAGTCCCAATATGATCAGTTTTAGCAACCGCAAACCCCAGACTGAGAGTCGAAGAAAAAAATGAATTTTTATGAGAGAGCCACAAAATTTATTAACACAACCCCTACCCGTGTTATCCTGAGCCAAAATGACTTCGAACGGGCGATAAATGACATCCCCATGCCTCTCCCCCAGGGCCGACTCTGGAACCTGTGTTTCATCAAAATGCAAGAACCCCCTATCACCCCTTTTCCATCCTATGGAGGGGAGCATGGCACGGGGGTCGTCCCTCGTTATAAAAACAACAGAAACCCCACTCCACAAAGGGGCATAAAGCAACAGCAAAAAACTACAGCCCAAATAGCACAACACCCCATCAAAAAAAATCTTTGAAAGGGCCCCTAAAAAGCAAGATCACCCCCCCATCTAAAAACCCCATCATTACACAACCCCAGGGCAACAGGGTTTTAGAACGGGTTCGCTCCTGTCGTCTAAAAATATGGATCACTCGAAAGGTCCAAATGCACTTGAAGACAAAAAAATGCAGATTAATAATACAGATTTTGCAAAAAGCCTTCGACAAGTTGCCCATGGGTAAAGCGCACAAAATGCGCGCAAAAGGGAAAACAGAAAAGTCGGTCGAGGGTCAAAAATTTCCCCACAACAAAACACAGAAGTAGCCCGTAACAGAGTAAAGCCCGGGGCAGCTACGGTGAAAGCTCTGTTCCACAAGGACATACTAGCCCCATTTTTTTCCCACCCATATCCGACATAAAAAGGATGTCACCACAGCCCGTGTCTTCCTTTGCGATTGACACCCGAATCTCAGACAGTGTCTTCCTTGAACACTGAAAGGTCCAGGGGGACATAAACCAAATTTTTCAGTGGCTGCAGAAAAAAAATTTTAAGTTAAGTGAAAAAAATTTAAATTACTCAGAAGGGTAAACTGGGGAAAAAAATTTCATCGAGTACAAAACAAATTCTGGCCAAAAAATAAGCGAAACCCCAACTCCCAAAAGACCTGGGAGTGATTAGCGGGGGGATTTACCTTCAAGGACCCTAAAATTTTTATCAAAACGCATCGCTAAAAAAACAGGAGGATAATGAGAAAACCCCAAAAATAGGGGGCCAAACCCCCGATGACACTCTTCAGGCCTTTGTTCTTTTAGGCTGGGAAAATTGCTGCACCTAAAAGCACCCTTTTAAGGGGGTGAAAAATTGCCGACCCAGAAAAATTTTCAGGAACTTTTACGGGCGATAACGGGAAAAAAACACCCCAATTATGGGAGCGTTGAGGTTTCTAAAATGTATTCCCGGAACGCAGGAGGGAGAATACGATTTTTACACCTGGAAAACCAGAGGACTGTACCGAACTTGCACACGAAAATCACTCAACCAAAGCAAAAACTTGGGAGACGATGCACCCCTCCCCCCAAAAAACAGGGGTGCCCTAGCCGTTAAGAACCATACAAAAAGTGTCAGGGGCCCGAGACGTTCAAATCCCCCCAGCACCATAAGGGGGATTACCAAAAACCCCTGGCAGTCTTCAATGGCACTGGCAAACCCTAAAATCAGTTCCCCATCACCGGGGTGTGGCCGTACGTTGGTTTGGTGCAGCCAGACAACACCTGGTTGATCAGGCGCGATTCCCCCAGGGGGCCCGGGGACAGACCGGGCCGCGGGGGCGTTGACCCCCGAAACTCTTCCCCGGTAAACAAGCGGGTGAAAAATTGGTGGTTATTGGTATTTATGGAAGGAGACGAGGATTGGGGTCAGGAAATACCACAAAAAAAAGGGGGCTGAATTAAGCTTTCTCCTTGCATAAAAAAAAAGCGTTGAAAAAATGTGGGGCCCTCTAGACTTGATTTTACCTCACTCGCCGCGATTCAATCCCACCCTACGTGGCTTATTGAGTCTTATGTATTATTTTTTTTAATACATTTGGGATTTTATGGTGACCTGGGCTTGATGGGGGATTGGGTGAAGACTTTGGGGTTGTAGGGGGAAAAATTTACTCAGCAGTCTGGAACCAACTTCCCACATCTTCCAGCATAGATTATGATGCATCTTTACGCCTCGTTCCAGGGGGTCAGTCTGAACGATATGGGGAGCGATAGTTCATTTGCTTCTTAAAGTCTCAAATTTTGCCTGCCTAAATGGGGGGCAGGAATGTACATTATAGAGAGAATAGGGGAATTTTTTTTTTTTTTTTTTACAAATTAGGTTTGTCAGCAGTGTGCGACCTACTCTAATGGGAGTGGGATATCACGTAAGATATCACATAGATAAAATAAAAAATTTCAGAGTACTTTAGGATAAAGAAAACAGTAAGCGATAACAGGAAATAATCCTGTACATCATGGAACCTTTAAATGTTTCACGTGCTAAACCATTAGTGTTGGTCATATTAAATTACTTGTATCACGTTAAATTTTTAAAACAAAGAAAAAGTTTAAACGGTTTGGGGCGGAAAAAAGCTGCCCTCACATCACGGAAAAAGCAATTTTAAAAGTTTGGCACTTAACCAGGGGGGAGAGAAAATAGTTAGAAATACCCAGTGAAAGGCAAGGGGCGCCGTGGGCACAATAATAACTGTGTATTAATATATGCCGTCCCATACTTTTTAATATCTCTCGTCCAGAGGGTATCAGAAACTGCTGGAAAAAGTGTACAAGTCTTCACCAGGAAACTAGACAATTTCTTCCAAAATCAACTAGGCTGTAATTGATACGTGGATCAGCATACCTGGTTGACCGGGCAAGCACTGGATAAGCCTGACCCAGGGCCGGGCTGCGAGGGAAGGAAAATTCTCGAAACCCAACTAAGGTATGTCACAATGCACAATATAGTATTGTATACACACCCTTCAACCCGTAAACGGTCCAAGCAGATCTACGTTCACATGTGTAATGCTCCAAAAGTAGATCTACGTTTTTTTTATTTTTTTTACACATTTTCAAATGTAAAAAAAAAAAAAGATCTACTTTTTTTACATACTTTCAAATGTTGAAAAAAAACGTATATATACGTTTGGACCGTTTATAGGTTAAAGATATACTTCAGTCAAGCGCACAAAAATATTCTCACTTACGTTTGAGAATGACTGCATTAAAAACATGGCGTGTGTGTGGTAGGAACAGATGTCTTGCTATTAATATTAACGAAGATTGGAAGAGGGAGAGTGCGAATGTTTGGGACACTGAAATGATATCACACTTGTGCAACATTTTTATTTAGGAAACGTTTCGCCACACAGTGGCTTCATTAGTAGAAAAAATAGAACGGTACGATAAAAAGTAGTTCGAAGTAATCAGTCCCTCAGCCTGGAATCGATGTTAGTCCATCATCTAGCACGTGAGTGCTAGACGATGGACTAACACGTAAGTGCTAGACGATGGACTAACACGTAAGTGCTAGACGATGGACTAACACGTAAGTGCTAGACTAGCACGTAAGTGCTAGACGAGGAAATCGGTGCAAAATTTTCAATTTATACCTTCGAAAAGTGAAATGTCATTGATTTCTAATTACTAAGAAAAAAATCTACACTTTTGCTCCTCTGTGCCTAGAGTCTGCCTCTCTCATGGCGTTTTTTTTTTTTATTCTGATCTGGCATTTTAATAATTAAACTTTGTACTTTGTAAGGTAATAAATGAATCGCTAAACTATGGACTCTTCACACGTTTCTTTATCGCCAGAGTGAACTGTGAGTTAGTAAATAGCTCAGAATCTGAACAAAATGGAGTGGAAATTTTTATCGCTCTGCGGAACAATGAAATATTCTCGTATTATTCACGGTGT